TGGTGTTCCGAGCATGACACACGATCAGCTCAAGACATACCACTCCGCGAGACTTGACTCGCTCTGCCCCGGTCATCCCGAAATCGAAATTGAAGGCGTAGAGGTCACAACGGGTCCTCTCGGCCAGGGTGTCGCTAATGCTGTTGGACTCGCCATGGCCACTAAAAATCTGGCCGCTACATACAACCGACCTGGCCACGAGGTGGTAAAAAACATGACGTGGTGCATGGTCGGTGACGCCTGCCTTCAGGAAGGTGTCGGTCTTGAAGCGCTCTCACTCGCTGGCCACTGGAAGCTGAACAATCTATGTGTCATCTTCGATAATAACAACGTTACGTGCGATGGAAGTGCAGATGTTGCTAACACTGAGGATATGAACATGAAGATGCGAGCTACTGGTTTCAATGTGGTAGACGTGTACAATGGGGACACAGATGTTGCTGGTAGGTCTCCCAAACCCTTGACTTGATGTGAAGGGTGTGCTAATGCGATCTAGCTGTCGTGAACGCGCTCAATGCCGCTCGCCATAGTGATAAGCCAACATTCTTAAACGTCCGCACCGTCATTGGTATTGGATCCGCCAAGGCCGGCACGGCTGATGTGCACGGATCTGCCCTGGGTGTCGACGAAGTGGCTAACCTAAAGCGATCGTTTGGCCTCGACCCTAACGAACACTTTTACATTCCAGAGGATGTCTATGACTTCTTCCGTGATATCCCTGGCCGTGGCGAGGCTCATGAAGCGAGTTGGCATGCGGCTGTTGACAAGTATCGTGAAGAGTACCCCGAGTTAGCCGCTGAATTTGCGCGCCGTGTTGCAGGAAAGCTTCCAGAAGACTGGAACAAGTACATTCCCAACAAGGAAGAGCAGCCTACTGCATCCACTGCCTCCAGGAAGTCTGCTGGTGTGATAACCAATGCCCTGGGAAAGGACATCAATTCGTTCTTGATCGGGACTGGGGATCTTACGCCCTCCTGCAATGTCGCCTACAAGAACAAAGTCGACTTCCAGTCTGTAGGTGCCACTAGCTTCCTTTCCTGATGCCACTTTCGGTTGCTTACATGCACTTCAGCCTGACCTCCAAACTGTGTGTGGTCTGACCGGAGACTACAGCGGTAGATACATTCACTATGGTATCCGGGAGCATGCCATGTGCGCTATCTCCAACGGGCTTGCTGCATTTAACAGAGGCACCTTCATCCCCATGACGAGTACATACTTTGTCTTCCATTTGTACGCCGCTGCCGCTATCCGCATGGCCGCACTACAAGGCCTCCAGCAGATCCACATCGCCACCCACGACAGCATCGGAGTCGGCGAGAATGGACCTACGCACCAGCCTATCGCAGTTGCTGCGCTATGGCGTGCTATGCCTAACCTACTCTACATCCGCCCCTGCGATGCAGAAGAAGTTGCAGGCGCTTACAACGCCGCCATTCGCGCGACTGAAACACCGACTGTCATTTCACTATCCCGTCAGGGTTTGACACAGTACCCTCAAAACTCCTCACGCGAAGGTGTAATTAGAGGCGCGTACGTTTTTGCTGAGGCAGAGGGCGACGACTTTGACGTCACCATCATCGGAGTCGGCTCAGAAATGGTATATGCGATGCAAACTCGCGAATTGCTTCTTAAGGAATATGGTCTCCGCGCACGGATTGTCTCATTCCCTTGCACAAGGCTTTTCGAGCAACAATCTCGAGAATACAAGCACTCTGTATTGAAGCCTCGCGCCGGCAAGCCAACAGTCGTGATTGAGGCCTACCCGTCTAACGGATGGGAGCGCTATGCTGATGCATCCGTGTCCATGAACTACTTTGGAAAGAGTTTGCCTTCGAAGGATGCATATGCTCATTTCGGGTTTGTGCCAGATCGCATCGCCATTAAAATCAAGGACCTGGTAGCGGAAGTAAGACGCGAAGGGATTGAGGTCTTGAGGGGCGATTTTAGAGAGTTCAACGGGGCCCACTGGATTGAACTTCAGCATTAGAACTGCTTATGACTCTTGCAATGACATCTAAATTTCCCTTGTATTTTGCGATTGAGGTTGTCTGTAAAGGGTGAAGATCCGATCGTGCTTATTCAATCATCAGTTCTCACAAGGAGATAGATTCTCAGCTTGTACTATAAGGGCTTGTTACACTCAGTGCAAAACAGAACGGGCAGCTCAGACATCAAATAATTTGCGTAATAGAGGAAACCGTCTGGTAGGTTGTGAGTGCTACAGAGTGGTGTGCATATGCATTTCAAGCATGCTTCAAAATTCTATTGAACTGACTGAAGCAATCCATGTATTCTATCTTCCCACTTCCCCAACTCCCTCTGGTTCTTGAAGAATCTTTCGATTTGTGGATCGACTTATGGTTCGTATTTCGGGGGTAGCATCTGTTGGGTCACATCAAATGCCGGAGGCTCGTCGAGACAATATGTCTCCATCGCGTCGACATCATTGGCAAGCTTGTGTATTCGCAGCGGAAATATTGCACCGTACAACTTAGCGATGGGTTTCCGGTCCAGTTTCTTATTCGTTCTACCACTAAAGGTGTCCTCCCGGGTTATAAGCTCGACCTTCAATTCGTGGTTGATAGCAATTCCTGGAAGATCGGCCAGTGGAAAGATATTCCGTGGATCGTCACCGCCACAGTAACTCTCACAGATTTCGTCTGCAGCATTTGCACTTTCCGGAATCCTGATTTCGAAGTCGACCCGTAAGCAGCCATCACGCAGGCAGCTCTGATCCGAGCGATTCAATATGACTTTCGGGCATCGGGGTTCGAGCTTTCCTTCTATCAATGACCGTTTCGACGTCGTTGTAGTGTTAGCAAAGGCCTGCATCTCACAATGGGCTATATTACGGCGCATAGCTACTTCGTCGACACTCCACTTGATTGCTGAGATAGCTATATATTTCATTTCACCATCTCGGGCACCTGGTGTCAGCAAATTCCGAATTGCTAGCTCCACGGAGAACATGGCTTTGGTAGTCGCGTCTTTTGGTCGTTGCTGTGATATCGTAGTTTGGATCATCAGAGGGGAGGCAGTGAACCGTCGAGAATAATTGCTGGGGAAAGATGTTGGTTGTATCAAGCGATAAAGGATGTCAAGGGTCTTGGACACACTCAGTTTTCGGCCAGACTCAAGGTCAATCGTGGCCTTGAGGTAGTAATCGACTGTCCCGAGCTCGGTTTTCATCGTTGGAGGGAGGCAGTTCGGCACCGGAATATTAAAGTAGTATACCACACCATCTTCCGTGTCTGTATCCCGACACGACTCGAGTTTGTTAAGTGCGGACCATAGAATACAATTCAGAACAGTCTCTTCGTAGCCCGGTGCTATAAATTGCTTTGTCGTGGACTGTCGATATCGAAGAGTACTCCGCCAGCGACCCTTGAGGTTTGTGCGAGGTGAGCTATTGCCATCAAATTTCACTGATCGAACAAGACTAATAGTGATATTGCGTGCACTATCTGTCATGTCCATGTCCATGGAAGGCTTCCTTGAAAGTCGAACAGAACCCGGCAAAGACGAAGTATATGGTTCGATGCCCGGGCGGATGAAAATGGTGTGGGATTGAGGCGTATCGAGACGTAGATGAGGGTTGCTCATTGTGAGCAAACATGAATCAACTAAAAGTTGTCTGTATAGCGAGCCAAAGAGTCTGGTTAGGGGAACATCGAGAGCGCATCGATATGTGAAGCCATGCGAGATGCGACAATTCCAAACTATAGTACTACGTGACTGCACTAGACCCGATTAAGAAGCCAAGCCGTAAGTTTAAGGTTTACATCCCCACAACCTTGATGCCTGAGTCCCCAAAGGCGCGCCCGCGCTCTCTGGATCTTGTAGAGATTCGACTCATAACCAATCTCCACCTACCTCGCAAGACCTAGATAGAGATCATAAGGATATTCCAGTCATGGGATCTTACCAGTGGCAACTGCTCATACCATATTTCTTCCACCGCCTCTGGGTCCTCCTCTGAGGTCAGTGCCAGGTCTGCTGGTGACGTGGTTTCAGCCTATTTAACACCTTAGGCAATTAAACATAAAATTGGGGCAAGTCCAAGGGAGTTATTATTGCCTTAGGGTATCACAGTGCTGGGTGTGTCTTTAATGGTGTGAGGGAACATGACATGATCTCGGATCTACCGATCCAGTCACCTTCCTGCATAGCTAGCTAGCTAGTCTATATACATGGCAAGCTTTTAAAATATTATTGCCATAAATTGCGCTACACCTTGCCGGATCAAGTAAATGTGGCCAAGATGATAATAGGATGGTAGGATTATACTTTCCCAGCAGATATATATATTACCCACTAATTGTCTGCGCCAGACCTGTAACACTAAGATAGATAGAAGATGTCCTGCTATGATAAAATACTAGATAAGACTGCTGTAAAACCAGGGATGTGAAACAGTAACCTAAACCATAGACTGGCAAATCTTATCATTAAATGTCTACTTTTGTATGAATGGGTGTGACACGGGACGCCAGGAGGACCAGGCCTTGCATGTATTGCACTATGTATCCGGCGAAATTGGGAAGCTCATAGATAATCTGCAGGATATAACATGGCAATTGGTTAGGTTCAACTATCATACAAGATCTATTACCTTTTAAATGTGAATAATGAGTAATTCACTAAAGTCTGCGATGTGCTGACTACGTAAATGACTCATGTCCCCAGTCAATACTGGCAAAGGGCTCTCCAGTCATCCAGCGATCGGATAATTTAGGCATGTTATGAGCAAACGACTAGAAGGCACAATACAAGCCTCACCGAATGACAAATACTTCAAAGCCTTTAAGGCATGTTTTACCTCGTGCGGAAGAAAGGGGCTATTAGAATACAGGCAAGAAAATGACTCGGTCGATGCAATATTGACAAGCTCAGGTTTCCATTTTATGGTAAAATGAAGCGAAAGGAACGTAAAACTAGAGTTTCACGATATATCGAAGATAATTGGACAAAAAAGGCCGACGCTCAGGTCTTGCCCCTTAACACTTGGTGAGGTAGAAATATAACACTCCGGCTTCGTCTTCCTTTCTTGGCCAGTGAGCACCGGCAATGATGTGTTTATTAACATAGCGAAGGTAATCTATCCGTGGATGATCATCATATATCATAGCCATAGAGCAAAGACCGCGATAGGCGATTTCCAACAGCTTCAGCCTTTCACATCAGTTGAGGTCATAAAAGATGCAATAATCAAAAAGGGACAGACATGTAAGGGATAGAACCAGGAATTGGTGCGAAAACTCACAAACATCTCGCCCCAATCGGGAAGAAACTTCTTTGTTTCACCATCCAATGAATACTTCGTCACCGACGTGTTGGAGTGGACAATCTTAGTAAGAGGTAGGAGTCTCTCTGCTACCGACTCTGAAGGGTGTCCAGTTCGGAGTAAGTGAAGCTCCCATTTACCGAGCAGAGCTTCCGACTTTACAGCTTCTAGATGATCGGAGACATTTTGTAGCTCAGATGAATGAAAGCTTTTTTGCTTCGTGATTAAGCAGAGAGGGTATTCCTCAACAGGCCTATGAGAAATATGCGTTAGTATTGTGGGGCCTCGTATCGATTGATATAGTGGCGATACATTCGCGTCATGGTAAAGGTCATATTGAGTATGTACGTTGGGGAAGTTGAAATTAGAAATTGAAGCTGCGAGTTTTCAATTTCCTGGTATGGGCCATCGGACTACACGTTCACTAGCGAACATGAATAGATTTCTGGCTTCCAATGCTTAGCAACTAAGGAGACAAGGCAAGGTCTTTATAACTATCAAATGGCTAATATACGTTGCTTTTCTAGTAGTACAACCCATAGAGAACCATGGTGTGTCCTTTATTATCATGAGTCAGCGAAATAATCTCAATTAGGAACCATATAATCCAGGAACCAGTTTATTTACCTTAAGACATGCTGCAGGTGGACGAAATAGGCGAAACTAGGAATGTAGGCCCGGTTAACATACAAGTATTACCCTGTTTAAAGGTAATATTAGGAAGCATTGATTTCCACCAGGGGACTCAGACGCCTAATTAGGTGCCCGCTGCCTACTGGTTACGGTATCAGATAGAAAAGTAAGGTTCTGATCGATCGGGCTGGGTAAACATATCCCTTATATGCTTAGTCTTCCGATAAGCCACTTTCACGCGACCCCATGGAGGCTGTTGTCTGCAGCCAGGCAGCGGTCAGCTGATCCTTCGCTTCTTCTTCCTGCGTGGTCTCCGACCACCACCTTTTCCAACCGACGACCCAGTCCCTTGGGATCTAAATAGATCAAAACCGTCAAAAACGTATATCTTTGAGCCTTCATCTTGACGAAATATATTTCCAATTGCGCTTTTCTTCCATATGAGGTGGATAACTCAAGTTGTATAAATATATTGTAGCGGGTTATACATCGGATAAAGATCACAATAACTACCCTTACATACTTCAAAGCTACGTACAAGGATCAAGGCACTCAAGTCATGCGATAGCATAATAGACTTATGTCCAATAAAATATGAAAATTTGAATAAAATGTGGAAGAGTTTTAGCGATAACAATATGTTTTGGTTTTAGCTAGGGATCTAGTAGGAGGGGATTGCTTTGGCATAGTATATATATCAATACTGATGCTCCAACGATGGAGAGATTGTGGGGATTGCCGTGTGGCGTGCTATCTACTCATGTGTTGGTACAATGATTATAACCTACGGTTTCGCTGTCTGCACCTTACAAACCGAAGCGTGCAACCCCCTGGGGCTGTCATGTTGAGTAGTACCTCCAGTCTGGACGGGGGCGCCAGCGACTTAATTACCATCCTTACTGACCAGATTAATCCGATAGCTCATCAGCGTGTAAGCCAATATGTTCTTCAAGGCCATGTTGGCCAGATGCAGGCCTTTGTATAAAAGATACCGCCGCCCCATCCGATAAACGCATCCTTGTCCACGACTGTTCGGCCGGGATCCTAGTGCCATGGATCTAGATAAAGAGTGCAGTTCAGCCCGGTATCGGAGAATGAAGGCATTAGATGGGATTTTATAGACGCTAATGGGGAGGTCAGGTCCAATGTTATGCCGTATCGCTGTACGTGGCTGAGCTCGTCGGAGAGTTTCGCGAATGCGAAGATCCAGCTGTAGGGTTTGGGACTCCCACGCAGCAAGGGTGACGGCCGATAACACCCCACCTACACCTTCCTTCGATGGAGCTGATATTGTAGCGTAGCTTCTAGGCTCGTCTTAAATCTCGTGGAGTAATAATCTGAGCCCCATGATACATTATGGCAAATGTAATACTAACACTCCTCAACCTAGACATTTTCGTCTTGGCTTGATTACCTCCGGTCAATTGGACATTGATCGTCATCAGGTATAAAACATCAGATTTTGGGTGAACATTTTGAAGTTCAATATTCATCCGGACACCCTTCTTTCTGAAGTCAATTGGGTCGTACAATCTAATTATAAAGAGGAGATTGCCAGGACGATGGATATCCTCTTACCGTCCTACTGAAGGTAAAGCGTAGAGTATGTGATAAGTTTCAATGTCTCAACATATTTCATATAATAATATGGAATAGGTAATATGAAGTCTATTACGTATAATAATATTGTAGGATGTAGAGCATCCTTTCCTGTCACATATACTAGTCGTACTGTTGCATGCAAGACACTCGAGACGAAAAGCTAGAACGCCGACTGCACTGAGTCAAAAGCCTCAATATAAACACCATGTAACAACGAGGTCATGTCTCAGTCGGATGGCATCCAGAAAACAGCTAGAATAAACTTAGGTACATGTGACTGATAACGAAACGAAAACCAAAAAGAATGGTAATATACGCAACAGAATTCTGCATGTACAAGGACTGAAAATGAGTGGTTATAGGGAAGATTGGAAGAAGAGTGAAAAGGTAATCACAACAAAAGGAAGTCTGGTTGGTCAATTCCATTCTAAGCAATATCCTCTGTGGCATTTTTTCCTCTGCATTCCCCAACATCGTCTCCAGGTGATTGTCCAGAACACATACCGATTAGGAACTAATACCCACACAAACAGCATCGCCTATGACAAGCGTCCGGCAATCAGACCCAATTTCTGGGTTCCAGTCATAAAGTTGCGCAAAGGTAATGTCATACTCGCTCTCAATGGCGGCGCATGAGTCGTGGTCCAACACTGTGTGGTACTTGTTGCAGTTACTCACACTTCCCGTCTTTGTTGGAGAAATGCTGACTGGTGCTATTGTTGTTGGTACAGGCCCCTTGACGCAATATGCATAACCAAGCCACAGGTTTGTACAGGTAGGTCCAACTAATGCCAATCAAGTTAATCAGCCTTCAGATTCGTTCTTTCAATGAACATGGAGAATATAAGTAAAGTGTGGACGGAGGGGAGACGGACTACTTGGATTCCATTCATAGAGCTCTTCTAGGGTGACTCCAAACTCAGCCTCCATGGTTGAGCAGTCATCTCCGTATTTAACAATGAAGAACTCCTGACATCCAGTGATGACACCTGTTTGGGTTGGCGCTGCGGATTCGGTTGTTTTTGTTGAGGTAGTAGTAGCCGTAGTTGCAGTAGTGGTGATAGACGAGCTAGAGCCTACCCCAACACAAACGGCGCGGAGGTCGTTACCGGTGATATTAGCGTAAAGAGCAGTATCACAGTTGCCGCTAAGCCAGGGGTTCCATGTTTTCAGTTCGGTTGCTGTGATGTTGAAATCAGACTCGATGTCTTCACATTGGTAGTCTGCGATTCATAAGCATTTGCGAGCTGTATTTGAACTTTTCTATTTTATGTCCATGGTCATGCTTTTGTCTGTCAGGACTATAGGAACATACCTCCAACCAAGTACCCGTAGATCTGCGTAAAGCAATTGCAGTTCGCCACCGTGGTCGACTCTGTGGCATTAATTGGTAGGCATAATGAGTGGCGTTCGTTGTCAGTGTAATCACCATTGATTACTGCTTGGTACTGAAATTAGAGATCTCGTGCTAAAAAAAACAAAAGCCAGTGAGCAAATAATGACAGGATAATCTCACAATAGGTACTATTGAGTAAAGCACAGTAACTGTATCCAGGTTGCAAGGCACATGTCGTCAAGTTTGTGTCAAGACTAGGGTTCCACGATAACAAGTTGTGAGTTGTGACGTCATATGCGTATGCGATAAAAATACAAGAATTGAGATTGGAGGTTGTATTGTCATAATTCACGTAGGATTGGCAGTTACTGATGGTCCCCGGTGCGGCGGGGAGGTACCTGGGTGTGTAAATAAATCCCGGGTCGCTGGTTATTATGGGAATCGATGTATCGACGGCAGAAAAGCTTGCTGTCGGCACGGTGATCCAGGGCGTCGTTGTCGGATAGCCAGAGTAGGTTTTGATATTGCCTACGGCAGTGATGCAGTACGCCTGACCAAGCTCGAGATTTGTACAGTTGGCATCAATTTCGGGATTCAAAAAGTAGAAGTCTGTCAGTGAAATTGAGTTCGCAACTGAGACTGCGCTGCACGTGTCGCCTTCCACAACCTAGTCGATGAATGCCGTTATTGAAGGGGTAACTCTAATTCTAGGGAGGAATGCACCTACAGTGTACCACTTGCCACAGTATACATTGGATCCGTTCAGAGCATTTGGTGGCATAGGGGCAACCGTAGTTATACCGGATGGGTTTGAAGTAGTCGTGTTAACCGTGCCTGTGGTGTGATTAAGATAACCTCCAGGTGGGCTGGATTCGATATTAGTATCTCGTTTCCAAAGAAGAGGTAGAAGGTTAGGGTATTGTATAGTACCCTATACAGACAACGTAGCCAATGTAGTTTACTCCATTTTGGCAGAGAGTGTTGAAGTTGGGATTCCATGCCAGGAACTGTGGTACTGTCACATTAGCAAGCCTACTAACGACATTGTCACATGTGTCTTGCATTTGCCACACGTAGGTGTCACATGTCGGTGGTATACAAATAGTAGAATTGATCACCGTGTCGGCCCAATTCTGACAGTAAAGATCCAGGTTGTTCATATATAAGAGACTGTAAGTGGACACGCTGAAGTCCAGCGCCACAGAATTGCAATCATCGCTCTGCTGAACTATATATGGCACTGTACAACTTGATGATGCAGATGCCGGGAAAGTTGTTGAGATAGTCGGGGTTGTAGTATTGATGGCATATTGTGCTGGGGTGGTATACGTGTATGTGGTGGCATTGCAACTGGAGGTAAGCGATGCGTAGCTTTCTGCAAAAGCAGTGTCGTATCCGAAAGGGCTGGCTAGTTCCAGAGCCAAGCCGCCTAGCCAACAGTCAGAGCACAACTGGTCAATGGTCAAAGAGTCGTTTGACCATGATGCAACAAGAGGATCGCAATATTTGCCAGTAGTTTTATCTGTTCTGCAGGATAACTCATATGTGTAAATGTAGTTATCAACGATAAATGTAGGGGGATATGCGATGTTGTGTATCGTGATCACATCAGTACTCAGAGTACACGCTGTCATGATTGTGCTTCGAGCAGCTTTTAAAGACGCGTAGCAGCTGTCAATACAGACTGCGTTGACCTGATCTGTTGTCATAATACCATTGCTGCTAGATTGGTCAGCGAACACAACATCTCGAATGAAGTGTCTTCTTTCGCGCGCGTACCTCTCCGAAATAATCCCCAGATACGGGGAGCAAGTAACATTCGTCGCTAAGGCACCCTTGCACGATGTACTGAGCCCAGTATAATTCGTAAACATTGTAGTACCAGCAAATTGTTGTGCCCAAGACAACGGCAGACAACTTGCTAATGCCGTAGCAAAGGCTATTCGCGATTTTGTCATTATGCTCCTAGTCAGAAGTAGGCAGAAGACAAGAGGAGTTCAACTGGAAATAAAACTTCAGTCCTATATACTAAACACAGACAATTGCGTCAAAGTTGTGCCGTGTAGATACCCAGTGGTATATACCTAAGGCACTTGGTCGTGCACGAAGAGGCAGATCGTATGTCACAGGATTCAGGGGCTCGGATTTGTTGGATTACCACAAGGATGACGCTAATGCCGCGATGTAACCTGAACGGACTAGAATGAAGAAAATGGGCTGAGTGTGGGCTGATTCTGGTCTCAATAGACTAACAAATACGGCGCGAAACCGCTAGCTGACAAGGAGCCATTTGCCAATAAAATAGCAAATGCGGAAATTTGTGTGTTAAAGCATCGGACGTTTAGTGTCTCGGATAGTCGGACCATGTTGGTAGGGCCGGAGATGCCAGTCTCAGGGTCCAGGGTTCACAGCTCCCAATAGGTCGAGCTCGACAGGGATCTAGGAAAGGGGTTAGTAACAACTTTTTAGCGTGGTTAGCGTATAGGAAGTAGCATGACAAGCCCATCCTTGAAAGACAGTGAGGGACTTTCGTAGCGAGTACCCCTCATCCAAGCCTACCTAAGGCTCTGCATCTAATTTCCACCATTCTTTCAGGTTCAAAGATCCCAGGTCACGTATTGCCCTGCGAATGGGGTTAATATGTCACACTAGTACACCCTAAATCTAATTATATTGGCTTCCCAGACGAGTATACTGAGGCTAACCCAGTTTGCACGAGCAAATGTAACCTCATTTCCACCATTATGAGACTAGTAGGCCTCTTAGAGAGATCAGACCATGGAGATTGCCCTGATATGCGATGCAGAAATGATTTATTCAGCAGTTCCGGATTCAATGGCATTCTGCATGTGGGGGACAATGAAGTTGATAAGCAAAGACTTTTGTCCATGGATGGGTTTTACAACTGCTGCTGCCAGAGCTCTTACAGTCATATTACTTATAACGGAGCCTGTACTATGGCCTTGGGTGACAGTTTCTCCAGAAAGCTGCCTAGAAGGCTGATCCGACTGGCTATCACAGCGTTTCTTGTCTGTGTATTTGCCCCAGTTCCAGCTGCGTCCTTACATGGGCGTTCACTGCGGGACAGGCATGTTGAAGTCCATGGGAAACACTTCCATGCTTCACCGCTGGATAGGAGTAATTACGTCCTTGATTCTCGAGACAGCTCCTCATGCGACGCCGAGAACCCATGTAGTAACGGCGCGTGCTGCAGCGCGAGCGGCTACTGTGGTTATGGCTCAACGCACTGTGGTGCTGGGTGTTTGTCAAACTGTAATGCGACAGCTGAGTGTGGTAAATATGCTTCTACGCCTGGTCAAGCATGTCCTCTCAACGTTTGCTGCAGTGAGTACGGATTTGTGAGTCTTTCTCCCCGTGATAGACATTGATTGTGCGATTAAGTGGACTGGCCTACCTTAGTGCGGTACTACCAATGACTTCTGTAAAGGTATACTAATCGACAACTCACTCACTTATCATTTCTAGCATCCATAGCTAACATAAAGCAGCTGGATGCCAGAGCAACTGTGTCTTGAATCCAGAGCCTCCATTAGGCGCTGCTTCCGTCGGTGTTCTCAACAAAGTCATTGGGTACTATGAATCCTGGATGGCTCGGAAGGACTGCCATAAAGTGACTCCTACAGACCTACCTTTGGATGCACTAACTCAGTGAGTCCTAGCTCTTGTTTATTAGGTTTCAATCTTATCTATACTTATCACCTACAGTATGAATTTCGCGTTTGCGTATATAGACACACGCACATACGAAATTGTTACTATGGATAGTGAAACACCTTCCAGCCTATTTCAAGATGCAACGAATGTGAAATCAATCAAACCCGACATCAACGTCTTCATCAGTGTGGGTGGCTGGACGTTTTCTGACAATAATACCGCAACACAACACATTTACGGTGAGATCGCCAGGGATGCAACAAAGCGACAAAGGTTTGCAGACAACGTTGTCCACTTCCTCAAACAGTATGGCTTTGATGGACTCGACATTGATTGGGAATATCCCGGAGCAGGTGATCGAGGAGGTAGCCCCGAAGATACAGCGAATTATGTCCTTCTGCTCAAGACCTTGCGCGAAACCTTCGACGCCAGCGGAAGTAAACTCGGCCTTACATTCACGGCCCCTTCATCGTACTGGTATCTGCGCTGGTTTGACCTTCCGAATATGATCAAATATGCAGACTGGATTAACCTAATGTCATATGATCTTCACGGCGTGTGGGACTCAACAGATCCGATTGGAAGTATTGTCCAAGCACATACAAATCTAACAGAGATTAAACTCGCGGTCGACCTATTCTGGCGAGTGAACATCCCACCAGAAAAGATTATAATGGGCTTCGGTTTCTATGGTCGCTCTTTTACTCTTGCGGACAAACTGTGTACAAAACCTGGATGTCCTTTTAAGGGTGCTGCAAGTCCCGGTCCTTGCTCGGATACTGGTGGGATTTTGGCATATTATGAAATCATGGCCATCCTGAACGGCGGAAGCTCGTCCTCTAAACGATCGCCCACTATCATACCTGTCCATGACCAGGCAGCTGCGGTTAAATACTTCACTTTTGACAATGACCAGTGGGTCTCCTATGACGATGCGACGACTTTTGCGCAAAAGGTCTCGTGGGCAAACGAAGTTGGACTGGGAGGAGCCATGATTTGGGCTTCAGATCTGGGTAAGTATAACAACATACTTGCATGCTGCAGTGCCCCGTCGTTTGATGCTCTAACATATTCGTATAGATGATGATAAATACTCAGCTCACGCTGGTCTCACAAACAAAACTATCATGTCCAATCCTACCCTGCAGGGTATCGACAAAGCTTTGTCAAACCCTAAGTCCGTCATCCAGGATCTAGCAAGTTTCAATGGTCAGAACTGTTTCAGATATGAGGGGAACTGTGTGAAACTCAACGATAAAGATGCAATGGCTAACGCCTGTGGGAGTGGATACACCGTGGTGGGCTGGGACGATGCTGGATGTGGCAAGAAGAGCTGTGTATGGTCTCCCCTTTCCATACCATTTCCGATAGACCTATTTATGTCTATTATCGATCTAACAGAATTCCTTAGCACTGTGGCAAGCCAGTCTGCTGTCCAACAAGTAGTGCTCCCAAGGACTGCATATGGCGTGGTGACAACACAGGCGATGCCGGCGTAAGCTCAGATTGCAATGCGCAGTGTCAGGCTGGGGAGATCAACATTGCCGGCATCCGATCATCTTGGGGTGGTGGATTCGTAAATGATGGGGACACAGATAAGTGTGGTCGAGGTTATAAAGTGTTCTGCTGCCCTGATCCGGAGTACAATGAGGTTGTTAACGGATGTGCTTACGCTGACTGGTATATTTTCACCCTTTACCCGGAAAACCATCCCTATATTGCGACGTTCATCGTGCCCTGACTTGAAAATAGTGGAAAGGATTGCCCAAGTGGCAGTACTGAAATGTTCATTAAAAGAGACACCTGCTGGTCCAACGGCCAGAAGTACTGCTGTTCGACACCCGCTGATCTGGCCGACTGCCACTGGGTGGGTGGCACCTCTGGAAATGACTGTGCCAATGCCAAATGTGCATCAACAGAGCTAGCAATCGATCGAGCAACATACGGTGATTCTTCCTCGGGTTGCGACTGGGACAGAAAAAAGGTCGCCTGTTGTGCTGTTAAGAAGGCAGCTCGCGAGCCGGCGACATGCGGCGCGGATTTGTGCTCGCTCTTTCCGGGCTGGTGTCCTGACGATAGCAGTGATGAAAGCTCAGTTTCCTACCGAAAACGGAGTGAGCTCACTTCATTTGATAAACGGGGAGCTTCTAAGAAGTACGTCGTAGAAGTCGGGGGTGTTGCCATCCAAACCGTTGCAGCGGCGTATCCTAGTATCGGACAACTCTTTACTGTGGCCAATGCTGGCCAGGTTGTCCGCTGGGCTTTTCGTCTCAACCAAAACTACTGCACAAGCAACGCCATGTCGGTCTCTCCTCTTCCGGCCGGGCTTGTCCCCAAGGCTCTCTACGCCGGCTTGAACTCGGAGCACGTTATTGATGTACGCGTTTTATTCCCGGACCCTACAATCGATCCAATTGTATGTATGTAAACATATAATGGAGGCTAACCTAGGGATAGAGACAAGTCATCAATTTCTTCATCAAGGCTGCGCTATCCGGTTATTTGGAGTCCGGGAATTCCCCAGGTCTGTTACCTGTCTCGCAGACCTTCTGGACTACCGTGTGGCGGGCTGCCAATTCTGCTCTAGCGGCAATGCCTCCCGTCGGAGGTGCGGACGGTGCCTCGCCCGATACTCCTGCCGGCCGTATCATGGAAGCCTTTGGTTCGACCAAATTTCCCGAACCTTTGCTGGCCACTGCTGCTGGGATTAACGCTGTCAAGGGCAGGATCATGGGGCTCAACGCTCCCTTCACCATTGCTAAAATCGAAGAGTTAGCCGCAGAGGCAGTAAAAGCGGATGGTGACGAGGCAGTTAACAATCTCCTCACGGCCATCCGAAGCGTCAGTTTTGCTCTCTATCACTGGGAATGGAATGAAATCAAATGACTAAATGGCAAACTAGACTTTCGCTCTTTTCGAGTACTTCCGTAATCACCGGGTTGTCGGGCAATGGAACAACGTGCTCCAGCAGGTTGGGTTGCAATGTGCGCACATTGAACATGTAACTGGCGTGACCGATCTGCAAAAATGGTGGTGGATCTGGGCGCCGGACTTCTTCCAGGTCGTCCAGGATGAGGCGCAGGGTTGGGCCACCGCGGCGATTCGGGCGGCGGCTGGTGCGTACACGGAAGCTCGCACGGCAGGACGCAGTCTCAAGACGAACGACATGGTGGTTCAGGCTTTGAGTGAATTCCAGAGCAAAGTAAATCTGATGAAAATGCCGACTATAAATACGGAAAGGACTACGATTACAGACTGAGGCCGGGTAGGTATCAGTAGCAGTGGGGGAAGGCTCGATTTGGTGGCTCGAGACAAGTAAATTCAGGTGCATCGGATTTAGTCCAGATATAGCGGATTCCAAAATCTAACTAGATTGTGATTTGACTGACCTCACTGAACATGAATTAGCTAATGTAAACGACGGTTGGGCAGCCCACACAGCTAGACAGTTTATCTGGTAAAGCTGTATAGAAGGCTTTTTTGAGACATAAAACATCTTAATTACTATAAGCCTGGAACACTCAAAGTTATATATATATAGGTAGGAATAACTTAAACTTGGTAGTGAGTAAGATATAAAAAATTTAGAAAGATATGTTCCTTAACTATATCGGAATAATGGGATGACTCAGTAGGCTGCCGAACTATAACTATAGGCTGACCAACTGTTGTTCACATTAACAAGTTCTGAATTATTTACTGACCTAGAAACTAGGCCGTAACCACGTGATCGGTTCTGTAATAATACTACGGGGTGACTTAAATACTTGGGACCCCCTTTCATTCCACGCAACTTTTCTTTCATTATCTGCTAATCCTAGATCACAAACCCCATGCCCAGATTGCTAAAATGACTTTTCTTACTCAGCATGCTAGCATCATGCTTAAAAGGCATACATACCAAATACCGAATACCCTCTCGAGAACTCTTCCGTTCCTCTTTCTGCCGCTTATCTGGCATGGTCACCGGTCATCACTTTATGTGACTAGTCCACAACCTTACATGAAGAAGAGAACGCTCCAATTTCCTTCTAGGCTCTTATCATCATCATTACCGCGCCTTAGTCTTGGTACTCAAGACTCTAAACGTACTCCATGGTGGCCCATTAGATGGAATGATGCCGACTTAATAGAGAAGAATATGCATGATTTGGGCTTCCAGACGTGGGGGATTGTTATCTACCGTTGCACTTACAAGAGCGACTCTGACTGGGAAGAATTCTTGTCTCGTTTTCTCCACAAGGTTCGGACGTCACTAGAATCTTACGATGGTCTGGACTTGCTTGATTCCTTCAGGCCGACAGTGATGGACGACAAGACACAGTTCGACGGGGTGACTCCGAACATTGTACGGGATCATTTTAATAGGTGGTCCGCTACCGCGTGTGAAGCTGAGCAAGGAGTTCCACTTACTGACTACCGATGGCATTCCACGGCACGGTACGGACTTTGCATCATGGTGGATGACGAATCCTTGAGGTCTGTTCTGGAAATCCCGCTTGAGTCGCTGGATCAATGGAATAACAGCGGATTTGTGATTCTTGTTAATGGTAGGTATGAGGTGGACCGGGCCAGTATAGAGGAATCTGATGAGAAGATAGAGGATGATGACTATGAGCCTTTACATGGATGCACATATGAAGATGTTGGCTGGATGAAGGTGTGCTATGATATGGCTCAGGTATATGCTTGCGCTCATTTGGGAGCAAGCTCTTGGTGGGAGGAGGACTATAGACGGCCTCCTGAAATTGCCCTTGGGTTGATGTAAAGAATTTCTTTCCATATTAGGGCTATCTTTTATATTTAGTTATTCTGTATAACCATGCAGATTATACATTGAATGCTCAAATATACTGCCTGTGCTAGAGGGATAATACTAATAGCATCCTATAGTTGTGTGATAGGATCTACTTGTCAGGGTAGAAAGCCTGTCAACTAGGTAAGGAATCAACCACAAAGTGCAGTAGATTGGTCTAATAACAATAAAGATAATCTATATTTATAAGATAGACTAATCCTTGAGGGATTAGTAGCTTATTATAAAGAAATTAATATCTTATAGATATTAGGAAGATATAGAATCTCTATTAATAATCTTATAATTATTATAATTATTATAATATGTTATTCCGATACCTAAAATCCTGATAATTAGATTATTTTATTATAAATAGTATTCTTTTTTACTAGGACAAGCTACCCAGCTTAAATATTAGAGATAATCTTATATATTCCTGATTTAAAATAATATAGATTTAATAATAGAAAACAGGAGATCCGTAGGAAATATTATAAAGATAAAATTATATATTATCTTTATATAACTTTAAAAGTATTTAATTATGTTTACATGGATAGATTAATAGAAAAAAAATATAAATAAAAGATTTTTTTATATTATTTCTTTTTCTTCTCTTTTTTTATCCCGGGATTATTATTTCTTTAATAATTTAATATTATTTTATTTATTCTTCACAGTCTTTTTATTAATTTTTTATTATTTCTATTATTATATATTAATTATTTGGTAATTAAGTACTGTTTTATACTTATTTTTTACTTTATTTATTTCTGAATTATATATTCTATATTAAATATTTTAATATAATTAATAGAGTATACCGTTACCACTATAAAGCTGTAATTAATCAATTATATTCTATTTATATTATAATAATTAAATTATAATAACTGTAATATATATATTATTTTTATATTTTAATAAAGAACTTTAAACCTGATAAAATAGAAGTACAGAAAATCTTTAAGATTAATTATATTCTTAATAAAGAAGAATCTATTTTATATTATTAATATTATAGCTAGTGTAACAGTTATAAAGTAATATAAATTTATAAATTTTTTTTAATATTTCTAGATTAATATAACTAAACTCCTGTAAAAGTCTTAAAAAATATTATTAAATTAATTAAATTTTTAGATTAATATTATATTTATTTCTTTTATATCCCGGAGAATAAGAAAAATAATATCTTTATAAATTTTAATAAAAATGTTATTTATATTTTTAATAACTGTATCATGTATCTGAATAAGATTTTTGTTTAAATAATAATAATTTATAACTATTATTATAATCTTTCAGTTATCCAGAAATTAGTATATAAAAAATAACTTAATTATTAATTATTAGATTAATATTTTACTAGCATCATACTGCTAATTATAAAGTATTTCTAATTAAATATTTGTGATAGGATCTACTTGTCAGGGTAGAAAGCCTGTCGACTAGGTAAGGAATCCGCCATGAAACACAATAGATTGGTCTAACAATTGATAAAGGTAGCCTATATCCACAAGATAGACTGATCCTTGAGAAATCAGTAACTTATTATAAAGGAATCAGCACCTTATAGATATCAGGGAAATATAGAATCTCTATTAATAATTTTATAACTCTTATAATTATTATAATATATTATTCTGATACCCAAGGCCCTAATAACTAGATTATTTTATTATAAATAATACCCTTTTTTACTGGGACAAGCCATCTGGCTCAGATATTAGAGATAGTCTTATATATTTTTAATTCAGAATAGTGTAGATCTAATAGCAGGAGGCAGGGGGTCTGCAAGAAATATTATAAAAATAAGATTATATATTATTTCTATATAGCTTCAAGAGTATTTAATTATATTTACATGGATGGATTAGTAGAAAAGAAATATAAATAAAAGATTTTCTTATATTATTCCTTTTCCTTCTCTTTTTCTATCCCGGGGTTATTATTTCTTTAATAATTCAGTATTATTTTATTTATTCTTCATAGTCTTTTTATTAATTTTTTATTAATTTTATTATTATATATCAATTATTTGGTAATCAAGTGCTGTTTTATATTTATTTTTTATTTTATTTATCTCTAAATCATATATTTTATATTAGATTTTTTAATATAATTAATAAAGTATATTATCACTGCCGCAGAACTACAGTTAACTGATTATATTCTATTTATACTATAGTAATTAAATTATAATAATTATAATATATATATTATCTTTATATTTTAATAAAAAACTTTAAATCTAGTGAAATAGAAGTACAGAAGACCTTTAAAATTAACTATATTTTTAATAAAAAAGAGTTTATTTCATATTACTAGTATTACAGCTGGTATAACAGCTATAAAGTAATATAGATTTATAGATTTTCTTTAATATTTCTGGACTAATATAATTAGATTTTTATAGAAGCCTTAGAAAATACTACCAAGCTAGTTAAACTTCTAGATTAATACTATATTTATTTCTTTTATATTTCAGAAAATAAAAAGAATAATACTTTTATAAATTTTAATAAAGATATTATTTATACTGTTAACAACTATATTATATATCTAGATAAGTGTTACAGACCCCTGCTAGTTAACCTGCTAGTAGGGCAGACTCGCTAGGCAGAAAGCACCGATAAAGGCAGTGCTTGAGCAAACAGAAACTCCTATCAAGGAGAATTCCGGATTATTCTTATAATACCCGGAACAGCCATGTATCATGTGACTATAAGTATATGGGATAGTACACGGACGGGTATATAGTATATAATATACAGTATATGGAAAGGTATATCACTTGATATACAGAGAATAGAATATATAAGAATATTTATTTATATACTTAATTAGTCCTATTCTTCGTGCTCAATCCATATTATCTTTAAGTAATCTATTTTTAAAAACTTAACAGTATAATACTTATCTGTACTTACTTATAGATAGCTGCATAGTATTATCTGGTCTTATTTCTTTTTTCTTATTTAAAATTAATGTTTTAGATAAATTATTAGTCTGATATTATCTTAATCTAGTTTAATAGTATATATATTAATGAAGCTAAGCTAATAGGAACAGAAAAATAATCTTAAGATTTAATATATTAAGCACCGTCAGTATAAGTATTATCAGTTATAATTATCTATTATATTAATAATTCTTAGTATACTGTGTATCTCACCGCAGGGCTTGAATACCAGTAGAAAAGAATAGTAATAACAGGTATATATACTAACAGTATAAAAGTTAATAAAAATAGTTAATTAATTATAGGAAAGTATCAGTATCTTAAAATAATAAAATTAGTAGCTTAAGAAATATTTAATAGCTAAATCTATCAAGATCTAATTATCAGAACTATTTAATAGCAGTTAATTAAAGCTTAGGATTTTTATAACCTAACTAGACTTGTATCTTAATATTAATTAAAAGAAGTTCTAGAATAAGATTAATAAGATTTTCTTTATATTTATCTATCTGATTAGAACAGTATTTAGTTAGTTTAAATCATATATCTGTAATTACTAGAAAAAGTTAACAGAAAATCAGAATAATAATATCAGAATTATTTTCTCCAGTTATAATAAGTTCAAGAAATATCTTAAATAAATATTTAAAAATATTAATACTGCATGTAATGCTGAACAGAAGTTATAATAACTTAAATAAATTAGATTAGTATCTAAGTATATCTTTAAATTCTAGCAGATTATTAGTTACCTAGATTAGGATAATAATATATATATCTTATAATTTAAAAAAAGACTTAAAATAGAAATCTAGGAAAAACTTATTTAGCAGGAATAACCAAAAATATTATAGAAAATGATTAAGACGGTGGTTAAGATTAATAATAAATTATATAATTTTAATATAAAACAGAAGAAAGGCTAATAAATTAATAAATTTATATTTTAATAAAATAGCTAGCAGGACTATAAGATTAATAATAAGTAATTAGTATAATCTAAAAGCCTGGAGTATAAGGATTCCTATAAATTAAAACTAATAAAATTAGATATAATACAGTATCAGACTTAATTAAATAGAGTTTTTAAGAAGAAGTTTAAAAAGCATAAAAAAGACTGCTTATATCTTAATTACAGTAAAATAGATTATTAGTTAAAGAATTATAGATAGAAATAATAACAGTCTCAGAAACAGCTAAGAGCTACTAATAAAAACTAAATTAAAGAAGTCTATAATATTACAGAAGTCTAGATAAAAATTAAATTATTAAATAATAAGAAGCTATAAGCCATATAATAAGGATAATTACTAGTATTAGTAAGTAAAATATATTAAAACTAGTTAAGATAACAGGCTAATATAAATGAGCTAATAATATTAATAAAATTATAAGAAACTCATTAACTATCTGAATTATTTAATTAATTTATAAAAATTAATAATAATAATAAGCCAGCTCTAGAGAACAAATATTTTAATATAATTTAAGATAAGTTTAATTCTTTAAATAAAGAATATAGTATTTAGCTAGAAGGCTTTAGACCCAGTAAAAAGAAACTTAATAAAATATTTAATATTCTAAAAAAACTTCTATCAGAAATTAATAAACTATACTTGACGCAGTGGGATAAGAATAAAGAAAATTAAGAAAATAATAAAAATAATACCTCTTATTAACTAGATTATATTATAAAAGAATTTAAGAAAAATCTAATATAATTTTATCTAGGACTCAAGAAAGTCATGTAATATTATTTATATTAAAATTTAAAATATTAAAAAATATAAAATAAAGACTAGAAACTATACTTACAGAGATATCTCTGTTACCTGGAATTCTGTTTAATATATAAATAAAATAATACAGATTATTATTATTATCTATTTAAAATCAGTTAAAAAGTAAGAGTGGCTGGACTGGACCCTTAATATAATTATAGAAGATATTTATATAAATATTTTAAAGAAAATAAGAAATATTAAAAGCATGATAAATTCTCTTGGATTATATGCTATATAAATATATACTTTCTATATTATAACTAGAAATATATTACAGAATACTAATCAAAAATACTAGAAATA